ATGGGATAGCTTCCATACATTTGTTTTTATCATCCATATATTTATCATTTGATAGCTTCCATACATTTGTCTTTACCCTCCATATGTTTTCAATGGGATAGCTTCCATACATTTGTTTTTATCATCCATATATTTATCATTTGATAGCTTCCATACATTTGTCTTTACCCTCCATATGTTTACAATGGGATAGCTTCCATACATTTGTCATACGACATCTTCTATACATTTATCTTTAGCTTCCTTACATTTATCATGTGACGGGTTCCATATATTTATTATATAGTCCTCTCCCCCAGTGGCACAGCGGTATGTCTGCGAACTTACAACGCTAGAAACCGGGTTTCGATACCCATGGTGGGCAGAGCACAGATAGTCCATTGTGTAGCTTTGTGCTTCACTTCAAACAAACAAAATTTATTATATAATATCTGACAGGCATAGCAAATGTTTATAGTGTGATTATTTTTTTATATTCCATATAATGTCTTTCATATTTATTGTGAATTAAGTTTATTAGTTTTTAAAAAAAACATACATTTATGTATAAAATTAATTATAGGTTAGATACAAGTATTATATTTCAGACATTTATTTTGTAAGTTATATCATAAACACATACCCTTATCTTTGAGTATATTTCATGAAATTTATACACTTTCGCTGTTCAATGTTTGACAAAGTATTTCAATATTATATATATATAAATAATGATGCAATTTCTTACAGAATCACTAACAGACAACGTGGAAAAGGAGCGGAACACCAGAAATGAAATAGAAAAAAAAATCCAAGGTTCGAAATGATATTTAATCATTTGTTTAGGTTTGTGAGCCAAGGTCTGTAACTCAAAAACAACAATGTTCAGTTTTTTACTAATATACGGATTTCTAAATAAGTTTGTTGACTGGTGTACACTATTGTAGATGAGCTTTTAAGTTCGGGCAGACCCAGATCTATCGTATTTTAAGATATATTCAAAACGTTCTTTCGATATCTATATTATTTCTAGAGATGTAAGCATATGATTTGCTTGTCAATCAGAATGTACTTAATCTAATAAAAGTTGGCATAGCCATTATGTGAGTCTTTGATTGATTTATATCAGCTAAAGTTGGTTTTCCTTTCCGTAAATTATTAAGGAGATCGGTGCTACATATTTTTAATTTCATGGCTTGTTTATCAACTCACATAAAATAGGCAGGAAGTAATTATATCTAATTTACTAAAAACGTTTTCTCCTAGATTCATCTGTCCCCATATCAGTTGGTGTGCCCTAAAGAACATGAACCCAGTGAAATCCTGGTCTTCTTTAGAGAAACAGAATTTAGAGAAATTCAGCACGTTGGTGGAATTTTAAAAATAATAAAAATTCAATATTTTTTTGCTGGCAAAAAATTTATGCGAATTCTTCTTATGAAGGGGAGAAATTTAATAAACTGAACTTAATAACGAAATATTGTAGGAATGTTTAACGTGTGTTTCAGATTGGAAATTTTTTTAAATTATATAAACTGTCATTTGTAAAACCAGTAAAAAAATCAAATTGTTTCAGACAAATCCCATAACCAGTATTAGAAAAAAAATCACTGTGTTTCATTAAGGAAGAATAAAAGAGCAAGTGTTTCAGACAAATCACTGTGTTTCATTAAGGAAGAATAAAAGAGCAAGTGTTTCAGACAAATCACTGTGTTTCATTAAGGAAGAATAAAATAAAAAGAAGCAAGTGTTTCAGACAGAAATAATCTAAAATTCCCATAAGCTGTTTTTAAGAAAGAAAAAAAGAAAATTCCCGAAACACGATTTGTAGAACTTTAATATTTTTCCATATATGTATGTATATAGAGCGAATAAAAACAAGCCCAGGAAAAATATATCTTCGAAAGAAATAATGTTGAAAAAATCCTGGTAACCTGAGTTTCAATAAGTAATAATTCGAAAATTTTAAATCTTCCCCGAAAATAAGCAAAACAATCTAATAAATAAAGAAACTGTAAAAAAAAAATACCAAAGTTTCATTCAGAGCAACTCAGAAATGTTTTTTTCAGTGAAAAGAAATAAAATAAAAAAACCGAAAAATGTGATTCTCGAAGGAAGAAAGATTCCAGAAAATCCGATAAGACTAAAAAGACAAAGTCATATTGATATCGAAAGTATGCGAAGAACGCTAATGAAGTCTATTATTATTCAGAATGATAGATTCAAGAAAATGTAAACATACGAGCATGAAAAATACACAAATACATAATAAAATGTACCTCAGAAAAAACAAAACAAAACTGGCATTTATGTTACCTCACTAAAACATATTCCAAAAGAAAAGATCTTAGGAAACTGATAACACTTTTATAACCGAAAGATAAAAAAAAAGATATTAGGGGTGTTACTTACTGCTGTACAGAAAAGCAAATAAAATGAAATTTTTGTAGTTATGTTTGTTAATAAACTGAAGATTTTCTCATAAATCCTCCATGGACCATTTTACAGCAAAACGAACTTAAATCACGTGATGATATGCTTTGTCGGACATGTAAAACATTGTGAAAATCTTTACGTGAACGTTTGATTGTTTTGTTGTGATGAGACAATTTACGAAGCTACCTGGACTTTTAACCATCTTATCGTAATAGGACACTTGATACGTAGACTTTTAACCATCTTGTGGTAATAGGACACTTGATACGTAGACTTTTAACCATCTTGTGGTAATAGGACACTTGATACGTAGACTCTTAATAGGTAATGTGGTAATAAGACATTTGATACGTAGACTCTTAATAGGTAATGTGGTAATAGGACACTTAATACGTAGACTTTTAACCATCTTGTTGTAATAGGACACTTGATACGTAGACTTTTAACCATCTTGTGGTAAAAGGACACTTGATACGTAGACTTTTAACCATCATGTTGTAATAGGACACTTGATACGTAGACTTTTAACCATCCTGTCGTAATAAG